AAAAAAAAAAAAATAGAATTTTTTAGGGCACCTGGGTGGCTCAGTCAGTTAAGCGTCTGCCTTTGGCTCAGATCATGATCCCAGGGTCCTGAGATCGAATCATGCATTGGGCTCCCTGCCCAGCAGGGAGTCTGCTTCTCCCTCTGCCCCTCCCCACTGCTTGTGCTTGCTCTCTCTCTCAAATAAATAAATCTTTTTTTACGAATAAATAAATTTTTTTTGGTCACTATCCCAAACCTAAGATTATTTTAGAACTTAAGATATACACAATACACTTTTATTTGATCCTACCATTTTGGGATTACGAATTTGTTACATCCAGCATTGACACATACAGCAATATACAGATATAAAGAGAAAGAAGTAAACAAAGGAATCATTAAATTCTTAATCCAAGGAGGCAATAAAGGACATTATACGCTACTTTCTACTGAAAGGTTGGAGGACAAGATTTCTGAAGGGAAAGCCAAGGTGGGGAGCTAATGGAAGATGCTGGGCATAGTTCTTAATCAGTCTTTTATGAAAAAGAATCACTGTTAACCAGGCTGTAGCTTCTAGTCATGAGCACTAAGCTGTTTTTAATCAATAATTCTATTTTTCCTAGCCTTTAAAATTACTGACTAAAATAGAGTATAAATATTTGGGTCCTGAATACTTTAATGTTCTCAAATCCCTGATTATTCTAAGGGAATCTCTTGGTCTTCTAGGCCAGAAAAAGATACACTTTAATTTTGAAATATCCAGTGGCTCTTAACAAACAAACAAAAATAACAAAAACCAAATCTAACAAGACTTGAAATATGTTTAATAAAAAAAATATATGAACATGGATCGAACAAAATGCCCAAGAAGCCCAAAGAAGAATGGCTCTACAGCAGAAATCCCTAAACCTAGAGCTAATCAGATAAAGGCACAAACAGTTTAAACTGTCACTAATATTACCAAATGGGTATTGATATTACCTTCAGCACTACAGAACATCATCGATCCTTAACATTTGGGGGCTAATACAATAGGGAGTAGGTGCATGTCTCTCAAAATGCACGCCTGCTGTAATGGGGGAGAAGTGAGGAGGGAAGCTGAGAAAGACTGGGGACTGGGTAAGCAAAGTCGAGCATAAATGAACTCCTATTATCCACAGGAAATGACACATTGGAAGGCACTATCAAAATCAAATAAGGCAGGGGCGCCTGGGTGGCTCAGTCGTTGAGCGTCTGCCTTCGGCTCAGGTCATGATCCCAGGGTCCTGGGATGGAGCCCCGCATCGGGCTCCCTGCTCAGCGGGAAGCCTGCTTCTCCCTCTCCCACTCCCCCTGCTTGTGTTCCTGCTCTCGCTATCTCTCTCTGGCAAATAAATAATTTTTTTAAAAAATCTTAAAAAAAAAAATCAAGTAAGGCAGGAGATCTCAAACCTGGCAGCATCATCTGGCAGGACCTGTAAAAATGCAGATGGGTTGGTCCCACACTCAATGAATCAGAAGATCCAAAGGTGAGGCCAGATAATTTGTATATTTTATCATTCTGATGCAGACATTCAGCCAGGAGCTCCCAATGTTGTCTAAAAGCCCAGCAGATGTGTCACCCTAGCCTACCCCAGGAAACAATCTGCAGTCCTCTTCAGAACCTCAGCCAGCAGAAAGAGATGCACCTTCCCCCCCAAAAATGGCCCCTTCCCCTTTCAGGCACCTATGAGATCCTTCCCACTGCTATGCCAAAATATACTTCACTGTCCTCTCCCCTCATGACTCACAGGTCTGCTCTTTGGAATAATGCAGAACAAATCTGTCTTCCTCACGTGACAGACAAATGTCTGCAGATAGCTATCATTTTCCTTAAGTCTTATTTGAACATAGCAAACAATATCCCATTGTTCCGTAAACACTGCCTCAGAACATTTTCCAATTCAACCAACATCCTGTACTGCCCAGAGAACTGCAGTTTATCAATCATACTTTTCAGAACAACTCACTCCCAAATCAGAAACAAATAGGGAGTTTGGCACATTTTGTATCCCCTGAATGCCTAATATCCTTCAGTGATTTAAGAAAATTTACTATTTTTTTCTGCCCTCATATTGCTACCGTATTTTCAGCACTATTTTTTATTTTGAAAAACAACTGTTGTACTTCTAGTATGGTAGCACGAGGTGCACTGTACGCCCCGCCCCCCGCCTCCCCAGCAAAACTGGTGAAAATTATTTTTCAAAAAATTATTTAGGGGCGCCTGGGTGGCTCAGATGGTTTAGCGTCTGCCTTCGGCTTGGGTCATGATCCCGGGGTCCTGGGATCAAGCCCCACATCGGGCTCCCTGCTCAGCGGGGAGTCTGCTTCTCCCCCTCCCTCTGCTTCTCCCCCTGCTCATGCTCTCTCTCTGTGTGTGTGTCTTGAATGAATAAATAAAAAAAAAAATCTATAAAAAAAATTATTTAGGGCGCCTGGGTGGCTCAGTTGGTTGGGCGACTGCCTTCGGCTCAGGTCATGGTCCCGAAGTCCTGGGATCGAGTCCCGCATCAGGTTCCCGGCTCGGCGGGGAGCCTGCTTCTCCCTCTGACCCTCTCCCCTCTCATGCTGTTTCTCTCTCTCTCTCTCAAATAAATAAAATCTTTAAAAAGAAATTAAAGCCTCTGGAAATGAACATAAGGGAATATAGCAATGAAGAAACATTTCTTCAAGACAACCTGCTAAAACTCCATAAGAACTGAGAGTCTGTGGTACTTGTACCAAGATCTACTCTCTTGGGGCGCCTGGGTGGCTCAGTCAGTTAAGCGTCTGCCTTTGGCTCAGGTCATGATCCCAGCGTGCTGAGATGGAGCCCCGCGTCAGGCTCCCTGCTCAGCAGCCTGCTTCTCCCTCTCCCTCCACCTGCCTGTCTGCCTACTTAAGATCTCTCTCTGTCAAATAAATAAATAAAATCTTAAAAAAAGATCTTCTCTCTCAATTCCCAGTTTAACCAGACCAAAACTCCACTCCAGATGACCGTAGCTAAGAACACAGGTCTCCCTCTCCCCATCAGCTACCAGTCAGTGGGCTGGCTTCCCACAAAGAGCACAACATCAGCATTTCCCATCCGGGCCACAGCTAACTGTTGCAAAGACTAAGTTACAGGCAAGTATAGCTGAGAGATGGGGGCTCCCTTCTTATGCCTAGCCCCCAACTTTTGGGATGGAAACTACCCTGAGCACAGTACTACTGGGACTACTAGGGCCCTGAGTGCCACTGCCCTAGCTCAAAAGGAGAGGTAAGCCAAGAAAACCTGAGGCTACTGCCCCTCCCCCAAGGGCTCAATTCCTAAGCAGGAGTACCACTCACAAAAGCACACCACTGTTGCCAGAGCCAGAGCTGTGACTCAGAGATTTTTGCCTTGGGATGGAAGTGAGGGAAACAGATTGGAGTATGGTCCCTAAAGGATCTGACTTTATTTGTAACAGTGTGTGGACAATGAGGAGTCCAAGCCAAAGGGCACTTTTAAAAAACAGCAGAGGCTGGGTGAAAGGCAATTAGGAGATTGGTAGATTCACTGGAGATACAGGTTAAATTGTAGGCCCCAACTTGGTCTCAGAGAACCAAGGAAAGAGCTGAAAGAAGTTCTCCTAGGGTCAGAAACAATCCCAAAAACAGACCTCAGGAAGTATCTCTTCAAAGAAGCTTGAACTTGACTCTATCGGTCTGTGAAGCAATCTGTGCTCCAGGGCACTTCTGAGAACAGTAGAGCAAGTCAGGTAGCAATTAGTGGAGGTTAACAGCTACATGTAGAAAAAGATAATCAAAGACAGTCCTGCCAAAAACAGTGATCTGAGAGTGACTGTGGGCAAACCCAATGACGCACCTTGCAAAGGAGCAGAAGCAGCAGAGGCCTCCCTGTTAGGGAGGTAGGGAGAGAGGGGGACTCCACCAAATTAATCCAATCAGTCACAAAACAATGCTGGGACGTGCACTACAATATGTTATCAAAAAATTCCAGTTTCCAACAAAATATTATGAAACATGTAAAGTAACAAGAAAGAATGGCCTATATACCAGGAAAAAAGTTGGCATCCACCTGTGAGAGTGACCAGATGTCAGATTTACCAAAACGTCCAAGTTTTATAAATATGTTCAGAGAACTAAATAGAACCATAATTAAAGTAGTAAAGGAAGGCATGATGACAATGTCACATCAAATAAAAAATATCAATAAAGAGACGGAAATTATTGTTAGACCAGAAGGAAATCCTGGAGTTTAAAAGCCCAATAACTAAAATGAAAAATCATGAGAGGAGCTCAAAGTATATCTGGACTAGCCAAAGAAATTAATGAAACTTGCAGATCAACAGAGATTATACAATTCAAAAAACAGAGAGAAAGAATGAAGAGAAACAAAAAGAACCTTAGAGAAATGTGAAATACCACTGAGTGCACCAATATGCGCACAATGCAAGTACCAGAAGGAGAGGAGAGAAAGGAACAGAAAAAATATATGAAGAAACCATGGCTGATATTTATTTAAAAACATTAATTTATACATCCAGGAAGTTTAACTATAATAAGATAAACACAGAGATCCACAGACATTACCATGATAAAAATGCTGAAAGCCAAAAAAGAGAAAATCTTGAAAGCAGCAAGAAGAAAAACAAATTGTCACTTACAAGGGAATCAGCATAAAATTAACAGCTGACTTCTCATCAGAAACAATGGAAGCCAGAAAGCAGTGGGAAAAGATATCCAAAGTCC